AACGCTATTTAAAGCTAAATATAGATATAAGCTAAATATTAGCAATATTAAAATCTAGGGATCTCTAGCATATCAAAAAGAGCTAAAAGAATTCGTTAGCAAACTTAATCCTTGAGTCCAGCCATACTATCTTACCGGCTATCTTAGTAATAATCTATATCAACTAATCGATCTAAAGTTAAATAAGATTATAACTACAAGAGATGTATAAATACTCAAAGAAACGTTTAATAATTAAGCTTACGATTAAGAATCTCAACTCGAAATCGATTAAGAAACAGATCGAAATACTAATCAAAACCTCTATCCGAAGAAAGATTAGACGAAAAATAATTAAATAAAAACAGTTAGAAGAAATCTAATTATTCTTATTAAGAACAGAGCTAGAATAACCGAATCAGCTCTATCCACCAAAGTCTCCACAGAGGATATTATCCTAGAAGAGATCTTATTTACCTCTAAGGATATTACTAATCTAAAAAACTACGCTTAAGTTCTTAAACATGCTAATAAGAATTAATATCTATTAGTAATATAAAAAGAGCTTAACTAGCTTTAAAAGAATAACACCTAGACGCTTATACCAAGGCCTTCTAACTATCCTGTTCTTAAAGGACGCTGGGTACTTAATAGAAAATATTAACAAAACAACGATTTCATCTTTAAAGCTTATTAGGTAGCTAAGGGCTTTTAATAAGAGTTTGGCATTAATTATTAAGAAACGTTTGCTAATACTACTAAGCCTAATCTTATTAGATTACTACTAGCGATTTTAGTAGCCCAAGATTGGACTATACAGAGCTGGGATATCAAATAAGCTTTTCTAAACGCTCTTATCAACACCACGATCTATATCAAGCAACTAGAAGGATTTTAAGACCTAAAATATCCATAATACGTTTGCCTACTCAATAAGGCTCTATATAGGTTAAAATAAGCTAGTAGATAGTGGCAGAAGCTTCTATTAAGCTTACTATATTAACTAGGCTTTTAATCTCTATTGATCGATACAGCTATATATATTAATTAAAAATAGAAAATTATTATCGCGACTTATGTGAATGATCTACTTATATTTGGAATAGATAAGCAAAGGATTAAATAGCTGTTCCATGATCTATCAGAGATATTAGAGCTTAAGATTAAAGACCTTGGTGATGTAACTGAATTCCTTAGTATCTAAATTACTTAATCTAATCGATCGATCTATATTAGCCAAGAGAGCTATCTTTAAAGATTGCTTACTCGTTTTAATAAGCATAACGTTAAGCTAAGAAAAATACCCCTATAATAAGGTACTAAGCTTACTAAAAACGATCAGACAGTAACGCTAAAAGATACTAATCTATTTTAATAGTAAATCGGCTCACTAATCTATCTATCTCTTTTTACTCGGCTAGATATTACTTACGCAGTTAATCTTCTATCGCGATTTATAGCTAATCTAAGTTCTAAGCATCTTAATAATCTTGACTACCTATAGGGATACCTAAGCCAAATAAGACGAATTGGACTATTCTATTAACTTAGCTCTGATAGTCAAAATAGCTCTATTAAAATAAATTAATCTATACTAATAGGATTAGATTAGATTAAGCTGATCGGATCTACGGATGCAGATTAGGGGGGCGATTTTAATACTCACAGATCTACCACGGGATATATCTTTTTACTCTAATCAAATAAGAGCTATTGCGTAATTTTATAGCTATCTAAGCTATAACTAATAGT